ATCCTCCTCCGTTAGCGAAGCACACATAGCATTAGCTAAAATGAGACACATGACTAGAAGGAGACACAGGACTAGAATGAGACAGGGGACTAGAATGAGACAGGGGACTAGAATGAGACAGGGGACTGGAAGGAGACACAGGACTGGAATGAGACACGAGACTAGAATGAGACAGGGGACTAGAATGAGACAGGGGACTAGAATGAGACAGGGGACTAGAAGGAGACACAGGACTGGAATGAGACACAGGACTGGAATGAGACACAGGACTGGAATGAGACACGGGACTAGAATGAGACACGGGACTAGAATGAGACACGGGACTGGAATGAGACAGGGGACTAGAATGAGACAGGGGACTAGAATGAGACACAGGACTAGAATGAGACACAGGACTGGAATGAGACAGGGGACTAGAATGAGACACAAGACTAGAATGAGACACAGGACTGGAATGAGACAGGGGACTGGAATGAGACAGGGGACTGGAATGAGACAGGGGACTAGAATGAGACACAGGACTAGAAGGAGACACAGGCCTAGAATGAGACACAAGACTAGAATGAGACAGGGGACTAGAATGAGACAGGGGACTAGAATGAGACACAGGACTGGAATGAGACACAGGACTGGAATGAGACACGAGACTAGAATGAGACAGGGGACTAGAATGAGACAGGGGACTAGAATGAGACACAGGACTGGAAGGAGACACAGGACTGGAATGAGACACGAGACTAGAATGAGACAGGGGACTAGAATGAGACAGGGGACTAGAATGAGACAGGGGACTAGAATGAGACAGGGGACTAGAAGGAGACACAGGACTGGAATGAGACACAGGACTGGAATGAGACACAGGACTGGAATGAGACACAGGACTAGAAGGAGACACAGGACTGGAATGAGACACAGGACTAGAATGAGACACAGGACTAGAATGAGACACAGGACTGGAATGAGACACAGGACTGGAATGAGACACAGGACTGGAATGAGACACGGGACTGGAATGAGACACGGGACTAGAATGAGACACGGGACTAGAATGAGACACGGGACTAGAATGAGACACGGGACTGGAATGAGACACGGGACTGGAATGAGACAGGGGACTAGAATGAGACAGGGGACTAGAATGAGACACAAGACTAGAATGAGACACAGGACTGGAATGAGACACAGGACTGGAATGAGACAGGGGACTGGAATGAGACAGGGGACTGGAATGAGACAGGGGACTAGAATGAGACAGGGGACTACAATGAGACACAGGACTAGAATGAGACAGGGGACCAGAATGAGACACATGACTAGAATGAGACAGGACTAGAATGAGACACAGGACTAGAATGAAACAGGACTAGAATGAGACAGGACTGGAATGAGACACAGGACTAGAATGAGACAGGACTGGAATGAGACACAGGACTAGAATGAGACACAGGACTAGAATGAGACACAGGACTAGAATGAGACAGGACTAGAATGAGACAGGACTAGAATGAGACAGGACTGGAATGAGACAGGACTAGAATGAGACACAAGACTAGAATGAGACAGGACTAGAATGAGACACATGACTAGAATGAGACACAAGACTACAATGAGACAGGACTAGAAAGAGACACAGGACCAGAATGAGACACAGCTGCTGCCATAAGTTTCTATTGAACTGTTAATAGCAGCAGTCGTTATTTACAATTTATTACATTTTTACTTTTCATTTACGAAAGGATCATTCCATTTTATCAAATCTAAATCCTTTGAGGAGCTACTTGGAAGCGGGTGGAGAGCTACTGGTAGCTCCCGAGCCTCAGACCCTGCTGTAGATGGTTCATGTGGTTTCAGACATGTCCTTTCAAAACAGACTCCTGATGGTTTTAGACAGACTCCTGATGGTGTTTGGGTCGAGATCTGACTCTGAGACACTTCTCTGGGCTTCGAACAAAGACGTCTCTTTGTTCCTGGGACTGAAACTGAGGAAGAACCAGCTGGATCCAGCCTCTGTCTCATGGTGACTGGGGCCACTGTGGCTGAGTGGTTAGCACTCTCACTTCTCAACAAGAAGGTCCTGGGTTCCAATCCCGGTCGGAACAGGGCCTTTCTGAGTGGAGTTTGCATGTTCTCCCCGTGTCTGCGTAGGTTTCCTCCGGGTGCTCCGGTTTCCCCTACCACTAAAAATATGTACAATAGATCTGAATGTAATGAGTGGATGGAGGGTGTTTGGTCGGAGGCTTTGATGGTCCAGTGTGTTCTGGTCTCGCTTCATCACCGTGTGGAGAGAATGGAACAATATCTGACTCTGAACTTTGTAAAGTGCTTTGTGTCTGTACCTTGGTCTGTGAAATGTGCTATATAAATAAACATTACTTACTACTTACTGAGTTCCTGGGCCACTTTCCCACATGGTCCGGGTCAGAGGGGAGGGGGGGGGGTCAGAGGTGGGTTTGGTGATGGCTGTCAGAGACAGCGGCTGGGCTTAAGAGGGGCATGTGCACACCTGTGGGATTAGGCATCATGGCAGGGTGAGCACGGGCTGCTACTTTCTGTTGACCGTAAGCAACATTTTGTACATCCATCATCATCCGGAAGGGCAACTGAGTCAACTCCACGAAACATCAAGTAAGTCCCTATCTGCATACGAATGAATCTACGCGTCAGCAACAAAGCTTGTGTCTTAGCCTGCCGCGGCGTATTGCCTCAGTTTGGACATTTTACGCCGCAATACCCTCCATTGTGCCAACTCCTTAAGGCACTCCTTTTTGGCCTCCTATTTTATAATTTTTATTTTTCTTTCTTTGGTCATTTCTTTGTGGGTTTGCATAATGTGTTTCCGTATGTGGGAAACCTTGGCAAAATACCCCCTCACCGGGCACACACCCCCAGGCTTGGCCCGCCGGCCAGTGATAAAACAGTTCAGGATGTCCCTCTCCTGGGCGTTTGCCACGCCATGGAAAGTTTTGATGTGGCGGTGTTCTGTCGATTTGGTCTGTTCGTCGAGATGATCTGTCTCAGCTGTTTATGATGTAATGCAAACCTGCGCATGCGCTTCTCACGGCAGCCAAGATGGCGGACATAAACTCTGTGAATTGCTTTAAAAAGCAAAATACGAACGAATTAAGACGCGAATGTCACTTTTAATGCAATTTGAGGCGAGATGTTGATGGTTCTAGGTTGTTATATGGGGGTTTTAGGAGTCAACGTTTCGTGTAAAGTTTGATTTAAGTGGTCAACTGCTCCTGTGAAACCTCACTGCTGCTGTATGATAGAAGTGGAGCTGAATTTCTGGTGTACGTTACACTATTGTGGATACTCGCATTTATTTGTATAACACAACTCATACACAAGGTAACTCAAAAGAGAAATATTTAGTAGTAGTTAGTAAAATCTGATCTGATGTAAAAGTGAATCCAGTTCAATTAAATGTGTAAAACCACAGTACTTGATAAGTATTCACTTTTTTGTCCTAAATAATAGTAAACATTTGTATTGCACACATTTTAAGTAGTTCTCCCACACTTAAGGGTTTAACATTGTCTTCAATAGGAGGTAAGATGTTTATTATGAGACCCAGTTGGAACTGAAGCATCTGATGAAGACAGGGTCAATTAAAAAAACAGGAAACTGTTGCAACAAGGTATTTATTTTATTTAAAAAAATATTTGTCTCACAGTTTGAGATTATTTACAATTCGAACATTTAATATCATCTCCTCTGTCAGTGCAATCCAAATGTGCAAAGCTCCTGCACGTACAGCACTGCACCTGTAAAAAATAATGAAAGAGCAATCAGACATTGCACAAACAACACTTGTCAATAGGGCGAAGATACCTTTTCGATTTCACCTACGTGAAGGCAACAGACAATGCAGTAGTCATCTTTACCTACAAATAAATACAAGTTAATTCAGGTTTTAAGTTTTAAAACTAAACCAGGGATTTTTATTCATATAAAATAATTTGTATATAAGAAAAAGAAGAATCTTTCATGCCAACGTGTGGAGCAATAACCTCCTTGCTGCAGCAGTGTGCATGCTACTTCCATACGAGCTGCTGCAATATATTTGTGGTCTGTTCTGACAACATCCAAATGTCCTTGAAACAGGCATGCCTCTGCAAACTATACACACAAACAGATAATATGGCTGTAATTAAAAATAAATCGATTATTCTATGGATTACATCACAACTCATTCTCCCACTGGATGAAGAATTTATTAGACAAATTGAAACTATTGTCATCTCTTTACATTTTAATATCATTCTGGAGTGATTACAGCTATTTCAGTCATAAAACCTCTTCACAGCACGTCTAAAACTGTAGTTGACTCGAAAAATGATTTATTGATTACTTAATTAGTTAGTAAGCAAGTAACTTTCACAGACCAGAGTCCCAAAGTGGTTACAATTGTGAGCCACGCTTTTCTGATTCTTGAAATATTAGTTGATTAATCTCAAGTAATAGATTCTTTGAATAATTGTCAATTTGCTTGTTACAACCCCAATAGTCTGTGTTGGTACAAGCTGTCGTAACAGAAGTGATTACAGATTCACCTTCAAAATCAAAATCCCACAACTCGAGGTGTCAGCTTGTATTTTGTGCTGGAGCACACTCACGGTCCACTGACTACTGTCAGCCTGCCTCAGAAACTTCCTATGGTGAATTGAACAGTTTAAGTACAGTTGGGTCATAAATACTAGATATGTTTTCAGACAGGACTAACCTCCAGTTTTTCAGAATACTTCTCTTATACATAGCCTCGTTCCCTAGTGGGTCAATCAGGATTAGGACCTTTTCCTCCATCAGCACGACCACTAAAACCCAGTGGCCACCTGTATTAATAGGACAGACCCAACGCTTCTCTTCTGGGAATTTCATCTAAAAAGTGAAACCAAAGAGTTACTTAAACGGTATGTGTTTGCAGTGAACATATGGCACAACATTCTGGATAACCTTTGCTAGTGGGCCCATTTGTCCACGCACAAAGAGGCTCGTGCCTACCACTGCAGTGAGATGGCAAACAGGTTTCTGCGGAAACAAGTCAATGTAAATTACACATAAACAGGAGGCTGTTAGAAAGTACTGTGGAGAAAGAGCGAAATGAATGAGCCTTTTATTATAAGTGACATGCCTCTTCTTTGTCCACCAGCACATGAAGATAAGCATCAATGACCTGGATTATAGACAGAGAATTGTTACATGTTTCAAATGGTTGGTTGAGTTTAGTAATTTAAAAAAAAATCACACTTCATCTGACAGCCAATGTGACCCCTCGAGTGTCCTAAACGACGAGCTGTACAGTTTAAAGCAGCCAACAGCTGCCTCCACTCGATCTCTTTGGCCTGACCAGATTGCCAAAACTGAAAGTGAAAAAATAAATTAGAAAATTTGAACTAGAACATTAGAAAGTGTCAATAGTAAATATACATATATTAGGATTGATATAAGCAAAAGCAAACAGGAACCCTATTCATAAAGAGGTTATGTACTCATTCCACAAGGCCAAATAGAATATTGTAATGAATGTATGAAATTATCTTTGCCACTTTTTGAAAGCCAAGTTAAGCAAACCAATTTTTTGAATAGGCTCCTGTTGAGTGAAATTTTAAAGCATGATCTGGGAACATCAGATCTTTTGCAGCCAAAATGAAATGGGAAAGAAGCAAAGCAAAATAAGTCAAACATACAAATGTCAAACCCTGAATATGGGTGTTCTGAACACATGACCCAACAGGTCAGAACTTTGTGTCATTACAACCTTGCTCTGCTACGCTCTCTTTTGTTTCACATGCATCACGTGGATGCTAGAGGATGATTATTTACACAAATCGTTACATACAGAAAAAATATTAATGTAAATTCAACTTAATAATTTGTAATCCATCAGACATTAATTTCTGAAAGACTTAAAAACATTTGAAAAGGAATACGTGTAAATTACTGAAGCATTCTTCAGTATTATTTACCAAGTGTTGTGGTAGAGGAGCAAACTTAATAACAGATGGCCTAGTTGTGGTCATTTCGAGGTGTGGACTATAGGAGTAGAGATCAATTACTATATTGTATTACATTCATATATACACATTTAAAATCTGTGGAAAGTACCGTTTCTTTGGAATGTTGTCATCCATTGCAAGACTCCTCTTGTATGGTTTAATGTGGTCGACACTGACTTTTTTCTTCAGTGAAGTTCCCTCCCGATTTGCCAGACTAACGTTTTTCCCCAGGACTTCTTTTACTGTATAGGGCCCTGTGAAGTCTGGTTCAAGACGACCTACAATTTCAAAATCAGAATAATACATGTGAACCATTTTGTTCACTTTCCATGAAATGTAAATCATGGTGTTAAGACCAAACAAACGCTTACCCCCTTTTCTTCCCCGCTTTCGCATATTAAAAGAGTAGCACCTCTTGTCCCTCGGTGTACTGCAGACCCTTGTATTTTTTAAGTGTTTTTTTCTCATAAGCCAATTTTTGTTTGTTTTGTGCCACAGACATGTTCTCTGTTGCACTCTTTGTATTTTGATCCATTTTTTCCTGTCTACCTTTCTTGAATTTGTTGATGTCATCCTCATCTGGAAGCACTATAGAAAGCTAAAAAAATTACTGTTACTGTAGGTGATCTGTGTGCAAACACCAACGATTTGCAATATCAAGCTTACAGGAAAATCTACAGGCACCTCTGAGGGGAACACAGCCTCCCTTCCATACATGAGCTGGAACGGCGTGTGTTTTGTCGAGGTGTGCACTTTGGACCTTAAGGAGAACAGGGTGGCATCCAGGAACGTGTCCCAGTTGTTCTGCTGGTCATTGACCAACTTCATTACAGCTCTGAAAAACACCATTCAGAACATTAAGAGGGGGAAAAATATTAAAATACATAATGTTAATCAAATCAATCGCCCTAAATCACTACAGTGGTTGTCTCAAAGGGACGTGAAGTATTTAAGTGATATTGTACAACGATCAGTGTCTTGCCTCTTGATGTTGTGGTTAGTCTTTTCATCAAGTCCATTTGTCTGTGGGTGATAGGCAGCAGTGACGCTTCTCTCAATGCCCAGCAGAGAACAAAGAGTGTCATTGAGCTAAAAACAATTATTTATTGAAAGACATTGGCAGAACACACATATAAAAGAAGAATTACAAATAATGCACCTCATTCACAAATTCCCGCCCTTGATCTGACAGGATAAGTTTTGGGCATCCATGCCTGTATATAATTGAGCACAGTCTTTGCCCAACCTCAGCTGCAGTCTTTGTTCTTAATGGGAAAGCCTCAACCCATTTGGAAAAGTAGTCCGTTGCAGTGAAGATGTACTGGTAGCCATCCACAGTTTTAGGGAACGGCCCTGTCAGGTCAATCCCCAAAAGCTCCCAAACAGCAGACACCTAGAAATGCAATATCATTTGTTTTTATTAAGGTGTGTCAGCAATTAAATAATGGCAAAATGTAAATTTACCTTAATGCTTTGAAGAGGCACAACATAAGACAGAGGCTTTCCCTCACGCTGGCATTGGTCACATTCAGAAACCTGAAGAAAACAATTCAAATAAATGATGCATGCATGCATTTGAAATGTGAAAAACATACCCATTTGTCAATCTGCACAGTCATGCCATTCCAGTAAAATCTGGAGCAGATTGAATGTCGCGTCTTTATTGTCCCAGTATGGCCACCCATCGGAGCTGCATGAAACTCCTGAAACAGCTTCCAGGCCTCGTGTAAGGTTTTGATGGCCCTTCTATTCTGGTAGAACAGCTCACCATCTACAAGAAACATTCAACATATAAAAAAAAACAAGAACAATGTGATATATTGGAAAAAATACATTACTTTTTAGTGTAAATTTCTGGGAATACTTCTTCAGACTTGCTCTCTGAACTTTTCCCATTCCTTCAGGATACCCATTTTCTGTGAGGAGCAGAAAAATCTCGTCCCATTTATGCTCCATTATTAAACGGCAGACAAAAATCGTGGTCAAATGGACAGGCAAAAAGACAAAAATTGAAGAATCAATTGGCAGACAAATCAGAAGGAATGAGGCAAAAATTGTGGTCGGACGGGCAGGCAAATAGTCAAAAATCAAAGTATCAATCAAAAATAGAAGAGGAAGGAAATATATTGAGAGGAGAGAAAGAAAGATGGAGGTGCAAACAGGGAAATGGACAAGAAAATGAGAGTAAGACAAGAAAGGAGATGCAGGAGAAGGACAAGAAGAGTATGGTGCAATAAAGGGAGGTCAAAAAAATGGATGAGAATCAATGAGTGCAAAAGGAGAATAGGGCTCTGTGGAGAAAAAGAGAAGACATTAATTAATTTTAATATAATTATTACATTACTTCCAAAGAATAACAAACAACATACAATTAAAAATCATTGATATTTCTTTAAACCATGAACAAATACATACACAATGTACATTAATAGATAAAATACTATACTTTGGATTAGGATTAGTAACGAGGTGACATTCATTTGAAGCATCATACAGATATGCAATAGTACATTTAATATTACGTTCATATATTACCATTTTTAAACAATTTTGCTCGCTCCAAATTTTACCTAGACAGATGCGGTATGGATATAACCTGGCAAAAGCCAGATTGATGATTGTGTAGAACTCTAACGCGTTCTCCGCGATATCAATCTGGGATTTCTCCCGGAGAATCCTTTCGGGGAAAGGAGGGATAAGCAGCAGAATACTTGAAGCTGATTGGGTGAAGTGACGCTGTGTGCCCGCCTACCAAGGTTGCCGTCCAGAAATGTACAAAGCGCCTCTCGCTGTTCATCTTTCAAAAAAGAAATTGGAGATTCTGCTAAAACTGACTTGATAGCCTCAGCTACGCGTCCGTCCTCCTGCGTAGCCATGTTTGTTTTGATTCGGCCCGGCACTTCTTACTTTCGTCAAACCCGGATATCCCGCCCTAAACCCCCAGACTGGCGCGTGATTGGCTTGAACACCTAGATGTTCGACTCGAAAAAGGTTGGCTGGAGCGGTACAAGATGTATTCTCGAGTGTTTGTGAACTCACAAATACCGCGAGAATTCAGCTTGCAGGCAAGGTTAGTATGGATATCCCTTTGAATGTAATTTCTTTTTCGAACACAGGATTTTGGTAGAAAGTGGGAAAAAGAAAATAGTATTCTTTGGTTGCCCTCTCATTAGCGCGTGCTAGTTACAAGTTTGAGCGTGTTTTTCAGAAGCGTTTCCCTCGTATTTTAATGCTAATACACCCGCTAATTACAAGCTTCCCTGAATATTTGACTCCAAAAACCACTGACACATATTGAAAACCAATCATATTCGGTAGCATAATAACCAGGTTAACTAGTACAGCATATGTGTCTATCGGGCATAGTGTTAGCTAACGCGAGTTTACCCCAATTTTTTAACTTGCAGTTATGTGACGATGGAAGCACGCTTTTGATGCAAGAACGTTAAATAGTTAAAATATATCATCAATTTACACAGAGACAAATACTCATTTGTGTTTCAGACTTCGGCGAAGCAGAAACAGCCAGATAGCTGATGCGCATGCGCTTAAACCATAGCAAGACGAAGAAACAGACTTTTTTTTTTTGGCCATCAGCAGCATTAGGTAATGGTTACAGGAGCAGTTGACCACTTAAATCAAACTTTACACGAAACGTTGACTCCTAAAACCCCCATATAACAACCTAGAACCATCAACATATCGCCTCAAATTGCATTAAAAGTGACATTCGCGTCTTAATTCGTTCGTATTTTGCTTTTTAAAGCAATTCACAGAGTTTATGTCCGCCATCTTGGCTGCCGTGAGAAGCGCATGCGCAGGTTTGCATTACATCATAAACAGCTGAGACAGATCATCTCGACGAACAGACCAAATCGACAGAACAGCGGCTCAAACACTCTCGTTTCGACCTACATTGGGACAAACCCCGGCTGCTTTTGTTTTAGTCATCTGAAAAGAAATGTAAAGATTTGTTTTTAAAAATGAGTATTTCTGGAAAATCAGAAACTAATTAACATTTTGGACTATACATCTCACAATAAACACATGAATATGCAGTGATGGGAATAACGCCGTTACTAACGCCGTTACTTTTTTCAGTAACGAGTAATCTAACTAATTACTTTGACTGTAACTATAACGCCGTTATCATTTCCGACATCCCGTTACTGCGCGTTACTCAAGAAGCACAATTAACTTCTCTTTTTACTTTGTGATAGGACTCGTGCGCGTGTTGTCATGAGAGAAGGGAGGATGAGAAAACCTCTCAGCAATTATTGGCTGATGTAAAACATATTTCCTTTACAATCTACATGTCTACAGTTAGTGTCAGTCTTTTTATTTGTTTCATGAAAATGCATAATTATACAAGTTTCAAATCATTCAAACAAATCATTCAATCATTTCCATGATCAGAAAGGAGCAGATAGAAGAATATTATTCTTATATAATTCTGCCCCCTCTTTTACAAAACAAAATTATATGGTTTTGCTGCTGATTCCTCTGCCTTCTTTATAAACACATATAAGCACATACAATATATATATATATACATACATACATACATACATACACACATACATATATACACATACATACATATACATACCCGCACATACATTTCATAATAAACATAACACGTAATTAAACATCACTTTTGTAGATTTGGATTTGTTTCCTCTTGTAAGTCTGTTTGAATTCTAAAATGGTTTTACAACTTTGTAAGTCTTTTTCTTGAGAATTCCACAATTTTACTCCAACAACAGATAAACTCATCTGTTTTAAAGTTGTTCGTGCTATTGGATGTTTGAAGTCATATCTCCTTCTATGAGTTCATCCTCTACAGTTGAGAGGATGACCGTGAGGTCAGCCTCAGAGGAGCGCATGTGAGCGCAGAAGTCGGCTGCATACAATTCCATCGAAAGGCTCCTTTCTCTTCCTGGTTTATCTGCTACAGGCAGCAACAGGTTTGGCTAACATACATATAACACATTTTAAGATAATTTAAAATGCACTTAGTGTAATTTTTTAATGACTATAGGAATAATAAGAAAGAAAGGTGAAATGTAAGACGGTTGATTTTGGAAATTGGATGCACCCGGCTTCAGCTAGCAAAACAGAGGAGTTTATGGAGGACACGCGCGTTTTGTTTTACTTTTTAAAACTCATTGGACTCATTTCCAAATGGAGGATTATATATCTACGCTCAAACTATTATCTGGACTTAAACAAGGAACTGGTCTGAACCGAAGTGGACTGTGCAGGTCATTTATAAGGTATAGCTATAAGGTAAGACCCATAACTCATAGTTTTGCGTTTTGTATGAACAAACAATGCGGGCATAAAACATATTTTTCTGTAGCCAAACAAATTGTCCACTTGATTTATATGATGTATATGTTCATCTGATTGGACTGAAGTCAGTGCTTCACCGGTGTTTCCACATTCACAGTGGAGCGTGTTGGTGTTTAGTGCTTACAGCACAGAGAGAGATGAAGAGTGAACAGGACTTCAGCAGAAAAACAGACTTTTCTAGATGGAAATATTGGCAATATTTAAAGGTAAAACTGCGCACGTCGGGTGCACATTATGTTCAAGAACAAAACAAAAAAGTAACGCAATAGTTACTTTTACTGGTAACTAGTTACTTTTATAGTGGAGTAACTCCGTTAGTAACTCAGTTACTTTTTGGGAGAAGTAACTAGTAACTATACCGCGGTGAAGTTAGTTTGAAGTTGGATATCCGACAGACATTCGCCGTAACATTTAAGTGCACCCGTACTACACACAGTACGGTAAACATGCGGGTCTAATACTTACATATAGAA